GTCGTCGCCCCGGGCGTGAGGGCCTTGCACCAGGCTTTCCTCCCGGTCGACCGCTCGGCGGCCTGAGCCCAGGGTGTTGAGGGCCACTAGGCCTGGACGGTGCCGCTTCAGTTTCGCAGAAAGATCCTAGCCACGTAAGTTCGTGGTCGAACTTCGTGTATGACAAGCCATGCCCAAATGGGAAAGCAACTTCCTTGTCCTCATACCATGGGAAGCCGGCGAAGAGACCCTCTGTGTACTCGCACATGGGATCCTCACAAGGCTGGATGGCATCTTCCTCTTTGAGTGGGAAAGTAACTGGCAGTTTGCCCCCAGGAGTGACTCTGCCATCGAGCACGTCCAGTAAGCCTGTACCAGTTGCCTCACCTGCCATGAACATTGCTACGGCAGCATCCACATGGTCTATCCAGGGTAGCACGATGGCTCCGGGAATGATACTGATGGAGAGCTTCCGAACCCCAGTTAGTTGCTTGGTAACATTCACGACGTACTCTTCCTGATCGACGGACAAGCTTGCACGATCGTAGCCCTCAGAAGATGTTGTTGCCGAGCAGATCACCGCCAAGTCAGCATCCGCCGCCATGCTCAAGGCATCTTGCGCCGTATCATTTAGTTCAGACACCACTTCACAACCCGAGACGATGCAGTATGCTTCGACAGCCTTGAGAATTGACAGTGGGTTGTTCGGGACTACACGACCGGAGCCACCAAAGGTGTAGTAGTTCGGCATGTCCCACTGTTTCAGCAGCGCTTCCACATCATTTGGAGGATCGCAAGCTGAACCCAACAGCGCAATCTTCTTGATGTCTCGGGTGAAGGGCAGCACATCACCATCATTTTTGAGCAAGATGACGGAGTCAGCCACCATGCGCCGTGCAAGCTGCTGATGCTTCGCACTGGTCGCTACAACATCGAACTGCTCCTCCAAGCAGCCACCTTCCGCAGGCTGGCACACGGGGTGCTCCATGAGCCCGTAACGGATCATGCCCGTAAGGATTCGCGTCGCCATATCCTGAACCTTCTCGTCGGAAAGCGTGTCTAAGTTCTCGGGCGTGAAGAAGACCTGCCAGTCTGGCTTCAGCGAGATGCAGTTTCCAGGCATCTCTTGGTCCAAACCATCCATCGCCGAGAAGTTGTGAGTCGCCTGAGGCTCGATAAGACGACTTAAAACACTTTTGGTTTCTGCAGGCTGCAGGCTATTGTGTGCCTTAAGAGACAAGGCGCCCACCAGTCACTCATGACCCAGCCCTTGTACTGCATGTTGGTCTTAAGATGGCCTTCCAGAGTCTCAGGATTGCCACAAGCGTGCTTGCCGTTCACGAGGTTGTAGGCACACATAGTTGCAAGGCAACCGGCATCAATGGCCCCCTGGAACGGAGGGTAATAGGTTTCGAAGAGCGTGCGGTTGTCCACCTGGGCATCCACATCCGAACGGATCGTCTCCTGATGGTTGGCAATGAAATGCTTCATAACAGTCAAGACGTGCTGCGAGTGCACACCCTCTATGTAGCCAGTGACAAGCTGTGCTCCCAAATAGCCCGACTCCCCGGACAAATACTCAATGTTGCGGCCGTTCCGGGCAACTCGGTGTACATTGAGCCCCGGTCCGAGCAAGACATTCGCACCTTTAAGAAAAAACTCGCGTCCCAAGGCTTCGCCCCAAGCTCTGCCAAGACTTCGATCCCAAGTGGCAGCCACTCCCAGCGTGGATGGCCAGGCGGTCACCTGCGGGACTTGTCGAGGCTCGAAGGTTCGGTAGCCTTGCCCGTTGTCTTGGAGATTCAGCGAAGGGATGCCCTTGCTGGGAATTTGGGCTGTGTTCCCAACGAAGAGGCCGGGGCGTGGGTTCCAGGTCCAGTCAGGATAGCCTACACCTTTCACCATGCCGTAGATCTCCGTCCGATTCAGCTCCTTTGCTAAATCCGAGGCCCTCTTCACCGCTGCCTCCATCGCCATGAAGCGCCCTCCGCCTCCGCCCCCTCCGCCAGCTCCGCCAGCTAGTACAAGGCTGGCAAGCCATGGCCAAACTGCGAAACCCCTCAGGCATCGGCACCAAACGTGCCACATCCCTGCAACAGACTGCCCGGCAGCCCGGGATTACAAGGCCACTGCTTGAGCCGGATGTACAAAGGCCTGCTGTCTGCACGTCACTCACGCTCTGCCTGCGATATTACGCACGGTAAGTCCTTGCCCGACGCACGGGCGCGACGTGCCGCAAGGGCAGAGCCAGCTGCAGCCGCTTGCACCCGCTGCTGCAGGGTCGGGAGGCTGGCTCTCCTGGAAATGGAAAAAGCGCTTAAAAGACCGTAGCTTCAGAAAGTGACTGCGCCAAATGCCAGGTCCTCGCAACAGCCACTGCCTCGGCTGCCACGGCCAGCACCTGCCATCATGGCCCCTTTTTGAGTCCCACTCCGTCTTGCCTGCAGAACCTGCACGCCTGTGCATCTGCATCCGGCGTCTTGGCTTCGAGGGCCGCGGCCGCATGCTGTGCTGCAAACTGGCTGGCCTGGAGATGCCAGTAGCTACCACTACGCAAAACGTACAGTCCTTTCATTGCACGTAGCATAGGCTCTTTGACTCTTTCGACACTTGGAGGCTTGGAAGTGATGTATTGACACACTCACCCTGCCAAACCGGTGACGGCACCCCCCACGCCTCCAAACGTGCATCTTGCATGTCCGTTCTCGACTTCCGTTCTGGGAGGGAAAGTGGTCGCTGCCCCTCTCCGACTGCTCGAACGATGTTCCCATTCTCACCGGCTTCACCAGCCCGACCTTCTCCCCTCTTCTGCTCTGGGTCCTGGGTGTTATCCAGTGCCCCTCCTACTGACAATGGCCCAGGTCCACACTCCTTCATGAATTCGTAGTTCCCAGCCAGAAAATCCAGCAAAATGCCCCTCTTGTGCCATCCCTCTGCACAATTCGGCTGAGGCATGGGTTGCTTGCGCGGCGGTTCAGTCATCCCCTCTACTCTACTCTGAGTCCCACTGCCGGGAGAGACAAAGAAACGATATGGAGTCAGAGACAAGGCCTGTTGCATGCAAAATGCTTCGGATACCGGCCTGCACCGCTCCGTCAAACAGCTCACCTAGCAAGCAAAGGCTGAATGTCTGAACGCCTTCATGCCATCCCCACCAGCGACGGTATGCAAGCTGCGGAGTTGCCACACGCCAGCCGGACACAGTTGAAAGGGACCCACCCGGCCTTGTCCATTGAAGTGGCACGCGCCAGGAATGAATAGGACACTCCTTGGCTTCTTCATGCCCTAATACCTCGGACCTAACCCAGCTCGCTCGTTGGCGTGTTCTCCGTCCGTCCTCTCGGACAAGTTCGTTGTCACTGTTAGGCGGGTCAGATGCTGTTTGGCCATCCTCTCCGATGCGCGCATCCGGTCTTGCATAAGGGGACTTCACGTGTGTCGGCCTGTAAGCCGTGAGCCAACATCTGCAAAAAGAGAGTCCGCTTGTGAGGATAGGCGCGAGACAAACCGGTCCCCTTACTGAAGCCGCAAGTACTAAGATTACTACTCCTCTGCGCTGCATCTTGCAAGGGCAGGTTGATCCCACGAGCATGCCAAATCGTGAAGCTCCTTCAGAAACTGCCCACTTCCCGAACTCAGGCTAATGGACAATTGCACTCTGAAATGCCCGGACCATTCCTGACACCCGCTTGCTGGAGCACAATACTGGAAGTGATCACTCAGACTTAAACGTACCGCACGTGGCATCGGCACGCTGCTTCATAAGACGAGGCTCAAGTTCGACTCCTCCGTAAAGGCGTCTGGGGACGCGCAGTCCTGTGCAGGTGCTAGCTTCTGCGATGCGCCCTGACAGGTCGAGGTCCTCAGGTCCGCTGATGGCTTCGGCAAGCGTGTGCTTTGCCTGGCAGGAGCACGAGCAGATCCGGCCAAGAGATTCTTCCCAGAGCCGCCTTCTTTCCCATGTAACACTTGCCAGAGTCTGGGTAGAAGGTGAAAAACTTGCAAAGCCTTACAAGTTTTACGTGCAGTCTGTGCCTGTAGTGTTTCAATGATTCAGCGAGCTACGACCGATACAACACAGCACCAATAAGGGTGGAGCGAGTTTTCTTTGCAAGACCTGGCCACACGGCATCCGCTGGAAGCTTGTACCGGCTGACATAGCATCAAAGACTCCCGGAATGCCACTCCGATGTAAGCAGTAAGCAGAAGCCTACTCAATTCTGCTCCAGGAATCCAGGAAACCGAACCCTGCATCATGGCAGCTGTGATCCGCGAGCTTGAGGACGAGACAACTGGCACTGCAAGGCCGTCAACAGCACCTGGCAGGCGGATACGATCGGTACATCTGCTGCAGGAATCCCAATCTCAGACGGCTGAACAGCACGTGAACGTATTGGGTGGCCTCTCCCGCTTGCCAGCCACCCTCTGCATCACGGTACGAGACGCCATACTCGGCACCTTGGAAGCAAAGGTATCAAGACAAAGCTTAGAAACGACAGGAAATATCATGGAAATGCACGGGCATTGACCTTCACAACTGTTGAATGAGCTGCCGGCATCGTGGCGAAGTGAGCTTTGATCGAAGCTTCCCAGAAATTGAAGAAGATGCCTCGCTGCCGGGCTCGCGCAGCAACACCAGGCTAACGAATGCGCAGCCCCGGGGCCCGACACACATGAGCTGCAGGAGCATCAACAACCCAGCAATCTGCGCCATGGCTGCACTGGGCCGTGGGATGTCGAGTACACGCTCAATCTCATGCTGTCAGCCGGGTGCATGGCTTTTAAGTATCCCGCCAGACCGCCATGCTCTCTAATTGACTGCTGCAAGATGGGTCTGCTGCCATGCTTTCGTGCGCAGGTCGCCAATGTGACAAAGTAAGTGCATTCTGGTTCGTTGTTGCTTTACCAACGCATGCATTCAAGCTCGAGTACTGATGGGACCTCTGTGATTCCATTTGGGTGTTCACGAACTTCAAGTGCGTTCATGTAGGCCAGGCAAAGGAAAGGAGGGACAAAAGCACCTCATCCTTCTCGGCAGGCGCAGTCTCCTGCAGGAAATAGAATTTCGTCAAACACTTCCGAGCCTATGCCTCGCTCCGCTTGCCACATTACCCGATGTGGCCGCCGATGCACCTTGTCCATCTGGCTCCGGTCGCCCGACCTTGGCGCCCACCACAAAGCGTGACACCAATGCTAGGCCCTAGGCTGGCAGTTGCTGTGCTCTGGACGAAGATGGACGACGCGAGGAAACTGCGCTTCCTGCAGCCTGAAGCTGACCAGCGGTGAAAGCTGTTGTCCTGGCCAACGAAGGATGAGCCGACTCGATCCGGGCTGCGGACCGTCGATGCAAAGGACAGCGGAAGATGCTGCAAAGATGCCTGCCGATGACTTCCTAAATCGCACTGCCTAATAGTCCCTGCGAGCGGCAACAAATGCTCAAAAGAATCCGGATCCTGTCGCGGTATGTGCACAGGCGTTTGCCTTTGGAAATCAAGCACCACAAGGCTGCAAAATACATAAGACTGCACACTGACTAACTGCACCAGTGCAGAAGCCGTCTTTCATGTACCCCTGAAGACAGCTTTTGAGCACCTATGTCGATGGGTGTATTCACTGTTCTGCCAAACGAGATGCCCGACGTGCCGAGCTTTCCTCTGGGGCAGCTGCATCACTGGCTTGGTCGGCGGAACCCTCAGAGTCTTGAGGAATGGAAAGGTTCTAACCAGCCACCGCGCAGACTCCGAGGAACCCACGCGGCACTGAATGTGCGCACTGCACCGGGCACCTCGCGAACAGCGGCAACATGCAAGGCCGCCACCGGTCGCGACAAGCAAGGCGCCTGGGATGCTGCGGCCGCAACAGGTTCCAGTCGCGCCCTGGGAGTTCCGAACTGTTATATGTGAGATGCAACTGCTGGGCTTCCTTCAGCAGAAAACCTGGCTGGCAGCCTCGCATGGATTACTGCAAGGCTAAGGGAACAAGAATTCACTGTGCTGCGTTCAACAAACACGAAGCCGCGAGATGTTGTGAGCCAACACGGTTTCAATCTTGCAGAGTGCCCGCCCGCAACAGCCAGAAAGCAAGTACTCCAATTCCAGCTTCAAGCGCAACGGCTCACCTCCGGACGAAGAAGGCTGGAACAGTGACGAAGCGAACAGTGCCGAGAAAGCAGACAACACCGCTTAGACAAAGCTAAGACGCCAAGAAATTGACTGCGAAACGTTGCGCACCGGCAGTGATGCAGTGCCGCAAGGGGCGGAGTCTGGAACCTGTATGACCAAAACGAAGGTTGGTCAGAAAACCGCACGCGTTTCCCGGCATCCACGTGCTGGCACTGTCACCCCCACAGAAACAGGGTCGCCGCTTTGGCTGAAAGACTTGCTTGTCACTACATTCCCTTTCCTAGCAGGTCGAGCAAACCCTGACTCACGAAGCACACGAGCTTCGCACCAAAGAGGCTGTGCAACGGGACCACCCGGACCAGCCTGGGGCTAAGTGCACTCTGCCTTGCAAGCGGCACCGAGACACCTCGCTCCTGCCTTTTTCTCTGCTGACATGTCTACAACATTCTACAACCCTAGTGATTGTCAATGTCGGAGAACCGAACAAGCCACCAGCCAACTGCCTAGCAAACACACATCCGAGCTTTGTCGTGGAGGCCTGTTGTGTTGGAGGGTTGTGCACACACGGCTTCTCGCTCCTGAGCTCCCCTGAGAGCCGCTCCGGCGGCGCGGGCGCTATCGTCGGCCTCTCGCACTGAGAATTACAGCTCCCGCCGTCACGTCGGTTCACCCCTCCAGGACTGCGGCGGTCTCATCGGCAAGGCGACGCTGTGGGTCAGCTTGGGCGCAGACCTGGTCCAGCAAACGCTCCGATGTCAGCGCAGGACGGCAGAAACGCCGAGCTCCACGCATGGAGCGCGCGAGCGAGACTGTCGGGAAGTCACCACAGGAGAACAAACACTCACCCCACGCACGCACAAGCAGGCATGCAGACAGACAGACGCCACAGGCCTGAGGCAGAGGAGGTGGCCGGCACCGAACGCGCCAACGTCGGGGCAACGTCGTCATGCATGCCCTGTAAGATGCTGGAAACGAAAACCAAAAGGACCAAAATCACTTTCTGCATCATCCTGGTCACGAATCCGAAGCATGAATCTCTGACTACATGACTTGCCGGCTTCTCGTGACTTCACTCCTTTGTTGCGACATGTCTCACCAGATCGACTTCCGTTCGCGAGCGATCATTTCAGCAGGACCTTGGCTAGTCCTGACCACGAAGCCAACTCTCTCGCTGCACACCGTGAGCATATGGCACTCGCGAGAAAGGGCTCCTTTCGTTTGCGCCAAGCATCGCTTGCAACACGTGGAAGCTACAAGTCGGCGAGAGGGTCAAGGGATGAGTGGGCCACGGTTACGCGGACCTGTACAATCCCCGACGTCTTGCTCAGTAGGCACTTTACACTCCTATCTGCACAAGCATCCGGCAAAGTCTGCGCGCTGTGCTTGAAAACTGCACAGTCATCCAGCGTGGCCAAAGCTTCTTCCTGCAGGTAAAGCCGATGGTCCGTGCTCCTTTGCTGCCACTTGTTAAGGACGGCTTGCATGCTCCCATCATGCGAAGCTGCCCAAACAAGCTCAAAACTTGGGGCAACTTGTGCGCCCTGCGAGCAGACAGCAGACCACCGTGTGTTTCGGAACATGCATATACGCAGTCTGCGACATTCTTCTAGCATCACTAAGCGGAAACGACATATATGTGGCGGGAGAGCAGGCTTCGGGTTCCGAAGCCTTACCTGCTATGCAGAGTCAATTCTCCGAATTCGATCGATAAACACGTTACACATCGCCGTGTAAGCCGGCAGACAAGTACAGAACGTGCTGGATCCCTTGCCAACTCCAAGCTTTTGTTGTTGGAGGATCACTAAATCTTCATGGCACTGCCGCCTTCATCTCAGGCGATCACCTGGGCAGAGCAGCAAGTTCGCTGGGCAGGTGGCAAAGGCGGCATTAACAGGACGAAAGGATGACACAGGAAGGCTGGAAAGCTCTCAAGCCACGAGAGTGTTGGAAGCTCCGATATGGTCTGGCACTGGCAGATGATGCTCAGTAGGAGCTTCCACATCTCCTGTGGGGTCAAGAACCGCCTGCGACAGGGCCGCATCACACAACAATGCGCACAAGAGACAACCAGCCTCCCCAGTGTGGAGAAGACAGAATGATAAAACAAAGAATGGGATGCTGACCTCCGCAGACACAGGACTTTTGTCGCTATGATAGCTGCTATGAGCCAAAGGGATGGATCACCACTGGTCAACATTGAACATGTACGCACACTGCACGGGCTCCGGCAATCACAAGTAAAGATGAATCCATTGAAACGATCACACTCCTCAGCTCCAACCAAGCAGCATCGGCTGCAACAAAAAAACAGAAACACTTCATTCGGATCGAGCCCAAGTGCATGAAATCATCCGGCTCGCAACTCACCAGATACTTGCCTTGGGAAACACAAGCACAAGTTATGTGATGTCCCAAATGCCAAATGTGTATCCACGCATGGCGCCTGCATCCAGCAGCATTATGCAGATCAGCAGGAAAGAAAAACCTGGCCGGCCCTCTGACAACAAATGCATGCGAGAACTGCGGGAAGCAGACTGACACACAGGACTGTCAGGCCTGTGGATGCGAGAACTTCAAGAGACCCCGTCGGCAACCACAATGTGCAAATTAAGGCCTTGCAGAACTTCGAAAGAGTCACAACAAGACGGCGGAGGACATTGACCAATCCGAGAGCCCCGCGTTGATCACGCATCCCATGAGCCAGCCAGGTGCCAAAGATGCCAAAAGCATGGAGCCCCCCGGCATCTTTGGATCTTTCTTGGCCAGAGCCCAAGACGAGACCTCTGACGCAGGCAGGCACACGCTACGCACAAGTGTGTCGTGAGTCCTTGGAGGGACCGTTTGTGTCTGCCAAGATGCAACCGCAGCACCCATCGTGAACATCAAGATGCCGACAATCCTCACTGACACGCACACATGTCCAAAATTGCACCGCGTCATGAAATGCAGTTTGTGTGAGTTAAGCGAGGCTCTGGAAGTGCATGGTCACATCTGAGTGGGCACGGGTCCTTGGTGGGGCTACGACATGACTAATGATTAATGCAAATGTGAAACAAGTGCTACCTCTTAGACGACTCGTGCTTGAGGGGTTTGTGCTGCAAATACGTTCGTCCGACGAGAAACATGCCCCAGAAAACGCCGGACAACAAGGTCGTCGTGGCCATCAACCTGTTGGGAAGCAAACGCCAAAGGCAGGCCAAAGGCAAAAACCCTGCGTGGTACCATCAGTTAAACATCCTCCATGGTGTCACGGCTGAGGTAGCATTACTGCCCATTTTGCAACCCAGCTGCATGTAGTTTGTCGGGTACCTGTCCTGCCAGCACCAAAGACAAAAGCCTGCAACATGCATGATTTCAACAGAACACATCGCGGGTCAGCCTTCGCAAAATACAGCCCCACCACACTCACCAAGTTCAAGAACCCAATTGTGTAAAATATGACCTGCCATGCGAAGAGCAACACGTGTATAAGCACATCGAACTCCAGCTGCCTGTCGAAGTATCTCAGGATGATGGCCCGGCGGGGTCTTTTCCCACGGTCTAGCCCAGTCCACCAGAACCTCAGTCTTGTCTTGCTACAACATCTTACCGACCCGAATAAGTATTCGGTATTCTGCACTGGTTTGCCGCCACTGTTCCATGACACCGAACACCAGCATCAGCTGCAAGGTCATTAGCGCGAAGGTCTTCAAACGAAATCTCCTCGCGTGGTGTCCGAAGCAAGTCTTAAGCCCCCTCGGAACCATGAGGCCAGTCCCCATCATGCTGATTGGTTGTCATCCGAAAAACCACGATCGCTCAAGACGGCTTTCCAGCAACATTCAACAGGGCCGTTCTGTCTGAAGTCAATACGCTGCGTCCGTGCTCGTGCACCATTGCACCTTCCAAAATGTAACGCTCAAATTCAGTTTGCAAAGCTTTGCATTTTCGGGTGTTCATGCTTCAAGACACTTGTCAACGTTGTGGCCGCGATGGCCACATGCTTTGCTTCTCGGCCTTGTGCCGTCAGCTTAATCCAGTCCACCCTCGCACTTCCGTTCTGGTGACGAAGTTTGCCTACGGGGTTGCTCGGCCTCGGGGTTTAGCACCCTGAACTTGGCGCATGCGGCCCAATGGTCGCCGAGGGTGGAGATGTCCTCAGCACGCGCATGTGCGCGGTGCGACGCAATGGTAGGGGGAGCTGGCGCAGCAAGAGGCATCAGCCTCCGTCTCCCTTCAGCCCATGGTGAAGCGCAAAAACAGCAGGAGTTCAGATCGTTGACAGCAGGCAGGCGGGAGCAGCCTGTCTGGGACGGCGCTTGCGGTGCAATCCCTGCTGGACGAATGCGTCGCTGCCGAGCGTCGCTGCCGAGCGTCGCTGCCGAGCGTCGCTGCCGAGCAGCGTGCCCAAAACGGCGGCAGCGACCACTGGGTCGACTCCAGGTGGCTGGAAACGGGCGGTGCTTTCGGGTTCCTGACATGTTTGGAGATGTCGCTGTCAAAGGATTGGATGAGCCAGGAGTTTTCGGGTTGCATAACAGCTAAAAAAATTTTTGTGGAGTGTTAGCTTTGTCTGTGGGTTCTTGCGCCAAGGGAACTATTCACGCGAACCGTTTCGTTCGTCACGACCACTTGGAAAACAAATGTCCAAAGGATACTGGCATGGAGGTTGATGGTGTCAGAGTAGTTGATGAGCTCACACTCTTGGGTCTACAGCTGCGGATGTCAAACGAAGGTAGTCATATGACACAACAGCGATGGGTCGCCCGGGAACTCAAAAAAGAAGGGTTTTCTTCAGCTTTCAGGTTGCGACTCCTTGCCCCTGCGCGTCACCCACCGCGATCGCGCATGGCAGTGCCGTCAGATGTTACAGATCACCGGCCCAGCAGTCTCCTCCAGCTCGGCCCGGCCACTGTGGCGGCGGCCTTGCGGGATGCGAAGCACGGCGGAGCGGCAGGGTTGAGTGGCATGCGAGCAAAGCATTTGCGAATCCTGCTCCAGGACCAGCCCTAAAGCTTCTCGCATAAGCCACGACGCGGCCAGCGAACGCGCAGGTGCACGCAGACGTCGTGACAGGAATGGCCCTAGCTCGAATCACAGCTTTCAGTAAACCAATGGTGGCGTGCGCAGCATAGCGACAAGCGACGTGTTCCGCCGCCTCGTGTCGCGTGCTTTGGCGAAGAGCTGAGCAAACACCTTCGACAAAGCTACTCGCCCCTACCAATTTGCCTTGCAGACGCGGGCACGGATGCACTGGCGGCCCATGTCCATGTAGCCTTGGACCAGGACTCAAACCAGGTGTTGGTGTTGCTGGATGGGCGCAACGCCTACGACACGATCTCGCGCACCTCCGTTTTAACGGCACTAAGTCCGTCGCGCCCGAGCTCCTGCGAAGCTTTTTTTGGTAGTCCCTCCACGTACGACGATTCGGGGCCTTGCCGTGATATCACGCAAGGAGAGGGGTGCGAACAAGAAGACCCGCTGGTTCCGGCGCTGTTCGCTTTGGCCATCATGCCGCTTTTTGCCAGGCCTCGTCCCCACTTCGTACCTCCGAGCGGCTCCTTGCGTTCCTCGATGACTTGTACGATCTTGTACGTCCCATGGGAGCGTGCACGTGAGGCTCTCGAAGCCGTGGTGCAAGCAGTACAGTAAGGATGCGGCATAGCTTCCAATGATGGCAAGTCTCACCAGGAATCGCTGAGCTGGGCGCAGACGTCTGGCAGGGCAACGAGCTCGCCTCCTAGCGCGGCCAGGTGGTTTTGGGCACACCCACTGGCCACTCGCGTTTCAGACCGGGATGGGCGGAACGCCGGATGAACGCTGAGCGGAAACTTTTGAGCCAACTGCCTCGCCTCCCCGATTTGCAATGCGCGTGGCTTCCTATCGCTATGTGCGCACAGCCGAGGACCAACCACGCCTGCCCACAGTGCCACCGCTGGATATAGCCGGCTACACACAAGCCCACGAGGCCGCGTGGGAGACCTTGCAGGCCTGCCTCGGCGGAGCCTCGTCCGGCGAGGCAGACGGTGCATGGACCCTAGCGACTAGCCCGGCATCGCTTGGCGGTCTACAGACCTATAACCAGCGCCGGCCGTACTGCGCCCGCTGCGTTTTGGGCGGCGTGGGCTGATGCACTCCCTGTCCTTGGCGAGCGCGCACCGGCCCAACTGGAAGCAAGGAAACGAGCAGCGCAGCGGTGGCACGCGATGTCCTTCGTGCTGAAGGCTGGGAGGAGTGTCCATCCTGGCGAACCATCGCGGATGGAGCTCGCCCGTCATCGGTAACTGACAGAGACTTGGGGAATTGGCCGCCTGGCTGGCAGCACTGTGCGCCGCGAACTTCCGCGAGCGCACGTTGTTAACGACCTTGCCACCAAGCCAGACCGCACGCCGGTGCTTGGCTAACAACCATACGCTAGCCACCACACTGCCCCCGCAAGCAATGCAGCTCGCCTTATGCCGCCGTCTACGCCTCCCACAGCCCCCTCACGCCAGCCGCTGCGGCCCTTTTCTTGGATGCGGCGGGGTCGTCGATGTGTTCGGCGATCATGCCTCGGCCTGCCCTCTCGCACCGGACTATTGGCTACTTTCCAGGTAGTTCCATGGGCGCAACGAAGGCTTGTGGCCCTATGAGGCTTCAACACAACGATTTAAGGGTCGTGGGGTCCCCCTAACCCCCCTAGCAGGACCCCCCCCTCTTGAAGGCTACGCTTGCAAGCATGGCCGTTTGGAGAATTGTTGCCACTCATAGCCGTTTGTAAAGTGTAGAATTGTTATCATGTATACCATCGCTACTGTCGCATTACAGCAAGCCTCCGCCGTCCTGCTTCCAGGTTTCGTAGCCCTGGTTTCAATTTGGGGTCTTTGTAATAAGCATCCTACTATTTAGGGTACTACATGAGGGTCCCTTGTTTTCGGAAACTCCCAATAAGACTAGGCGACTTGGGTTGGGGCGGAGCCACATGCCCCCCGACACCCGAAAACTTTTTAACTGCAGCATACGACTGAATCCAATTCCCGCGACAAGCCATTGTGTTACGGATAGTGGAGCTCTGGTAATCTGGTTTCAGAAGCTCTCGCGAGTTAGGTTTCTGCGCAGCTCGATACGTAGATCCCGAAGTATCCCAAGGCTTCGATAATGCTTCACTTCGCTGAAGCTTAAAACGGCTGTATATATAGACATACAGACAGGCTACTGGATGGCTGCAGAAAAGCTACAAACAAGCCACACAAAAAAAACTACAGGGAGGCTGTCAACAGCCACGACAAAGCAGCCTTTTTTTCTCCGAGGGCGCGCAAGCGAACGAGCTGAGAGATGAGGAGGAGCGACTCGTCATTCCAGCGCCCCCCGTTTCGCACGCGAGCACGCAAAGCCGTTGCATTCCTCGCCGGAGGAGCTCAGGGTAGGCAGTGCGCTTGCGGCGTTCAGCATGCAACGGCGAGGGCAGCAGCATCTCTAGTGGTAGTGGAGGGCTGTGAGCGGCGACACCAGGGTCACGTCACAGCACAGCGTTTCGCCGAACTGCGTAGCTCCGTAGGCGACGAAGTCGAGGCGCCGTCGATCATCTGGGTCAACGCCAGGGGCGGGTGTCCGCGCGAGCCACTGCTGGGGAACGACCTGGCCCTCCGACCCAGCTGCTTCGCGCACGACCCTGATCCAAGCGTGCTCGAGTGGTTTGGTTTGGCTCGGCGGCGAGCAGGCCCGGATGGAGACGGGCAGCATCATGATCGCCGTAGACGTCGACCGTGGCGCCGCAGCCGTGTCCATGGGCCCCGCATCTGCCCTGTGCGACGGGCAACGGCAGGCACAACCGCCGCCGCAAGGCGATGAGCATGCGGTCTGGCGGGATTGTTGTCCCGGCCTCGCTGGGGACAGCGCGTGGCCCAGACTGCGAACGCAGCAGCGCCTGAAGCTTTCCTCGCCTCAATCCTTAAGTTCTTATCTTTTTCTATAACCAGTTTTTTTTGCTGCACCTTTTCCGTCTGCGCGGAAGTGGTCAAGTCGGTCGGCTACTGTCGCTACGAGCGGCGCCAGCCGTGCAGTTACGGGGTACGCAGCGGCGAGGAGGGCAGCGCAGGCTCGGCCAGCTCGACGACTTCGCTGAGGATCCTGCCCGTCGCTACCCGGCTGCGCCGGAGCTCGCCAGAGTGTGGATGCCAGGGCGCGCTGCTGCGCGCAGCTCAAGAAAACCACCTTCTCCGCCTGCGGACGGTCGGAGCAGCCCAGTCCTACGTGACTCCTACACGTCGTGAAGCCAACAAAAATTTGTTCTTCCCTAAGCCCTTGGCTGGAGATATAGCTTTCCCTCACGCGAAAGCTGAAAAATGAAAAGCGGAAAAATTAAACAAGATCTACAAAAAAATACAACAAAAGCAATCAAACAGGCAACACAACAATTTCGTCCAGCAATGCAGCCACGATAAAACCAGAAAAACACTGCAGCCAGAAGGCATGCCAAAATATGCGGGTTGCTCAGCGGCGCAAGCGAGCCGCCTACTCCAAGTGCAGTGCATGCGGTCCGCAGCGGATTCGTGTGTTTGGCTCAGAAGTTGGGGAGCGCCGGAACGATACGGCACAGGTCAATTCCGGTCCCGGCCGTTGGCTCACGTGTGGTGGGCGGGCCAGGCACTGCCAAGGCCTGCTGCACCATTACTGCTAGCCACCACCATCCCGTCCAGGTAGCTGCGGCTCACAGCGCCGGTGGGGCCTGTTGGGAGCGGACGCGCCAAGTCTCGAACGAGCCGCTGCGCCGCACGTCCCAGCGCCCCCTTCCCCTTCAGGCAAACACGGCAGGCGGCTCGCTTGCGCCGCTCAGAAACCCGCAGCATGGCACCGGCGTGTGCTGCAATGCAGGGTTGCGGCTGGCCCGTTCGGGTCAGCGACGACACTAGGGTCGCACCGCAGCACAGCGCGCCCCTCCGAGTGGGTGTTGACGCCGGTCGTCCGGATGGTTGTGGTACTATTTGGCCATAAGCTCGAACGGCTTCTCGCACAACCTTCACCCATGCCCTTCTAGAATTTTAGCGCGCCGAGCCTTCAGACGGCCGTGCCTTGGACTTAATTTACCTGTTAGAAAACAGAAACAAAACAAAGCTATGGGAAAGCTAAATAACAGCTCGCCGAGGGGTCTTTGTGAAAAGCTGTCAAAGAAAGTTTGCTTGGCGATCGCATCGAGAAGGTGCTATCGCATTGTTGGCACCAGATGCACATGCCGAAGTTACTGCACTCTGACTGCCATCGCACGTCTTGTCGGTTTTTCTTTCAGCGCGCTTTTTGGCGACTGCGAGTGACGGCAGGTCCAGGTCCCCGTTGCGGCACGCTTTGCGCACGGGCAGGGAGGCGGCTGGGCTGAGGCGCCACTTGCCACCGAGCGTTTGCAAGGAGCTCGTGCAGAGCTGGTGGCGGGCCAGCTGCACGCCTGGGCACTTGCTGCACGCGCCCGGGCAGGGAGGCGGACAGAGGTGGCAGCTTCCCAGCCGATTCAACCATGGGCACATGTTAAGGGAAGTTGGTCATCACACATTTCAAGGCGTGTCTTTTTTGAACGGCTCTTGTGTGAGCTGCAAGCCCCATTTCGGCTTCCACTAGCTTACATTTTGAAGATATGGTTCCAAAATCATTCTATCGACCTACACTGCTCCATCTCAACCCTACGCCTCCCCATTTCAGCAGCTGACATCGTGGCATGTAGGTTGTGTAAACGGGGGGACTCACAAACAATACATGCGCATTATCATGAGAAGAACCTCAACGGTTAATGATTTGTTCAACGCCATTGCTCAAACATGCTGAAAAATCAAAGCATGCAAATCTCAACCAAGCGGATGAACTCCCAAAAGCTGTGAAAAATGTCGGAATTTGTTCCGCTCCAATGCTTACGTTAAAACATTCACGAGGGTATATCGTCGGTGCTATTTTTTTTTATAACCTTGTTGTCGGGATCAATGCTCACCTTATGTAACCATGACCAAACACACCTTGCGTTTGCGTCATGCATGTATTTGAAGACACCACACGCATCATCGATTGCTGCAATACCTGTAGCTGCGTCGGTCATGATGTCTAAACTCAAATGGAAAATCCGGCGGCATAAACGCTGGAACAGGAGAACACGATGAGCGGCTTCATCAAACCGCAGCTCCAGGCAGGCTCCGCTAGCAACTCACCCGTGGCAAGGTCAGACCCCTATTAGTCAGGAAGTGGCGACGTACGTGGCGAAGTAAAGCAGTGAAGGTTGCACTCAGGACTTGCGAGTTGTCGCAACATGTCGCCACAGAACGCGGGCCGGTAGACAAGTGCGATCCCTGTGCACCCGCACTTGTGTCCACCCAGGCATCTTCTCCGTTGTGCAGCCACGGCAATGATGACAGTCAGCTTCTGTGCAGAGCCGAGCGGACGGCAGCTTGCGAATTCGATGCACACTTGTGCTAGGATGCAGGACGGCTCTGTGGCAGCGGGTCAGCCGGCCAGCAGCAGGGTCAAACAATGCAGCTTGCTGCGGTCGTGCTAAGCAGGAAACACGGCAGCGAGGGCCAGCGGGACACGAGCGCACGGTCACAAACCACGCGACTTGGAAAGTTGGGAACTGCCGTGAGAAGCTCGAGGAGTGCGCGGTGCTGTGCGGAGAGGGTGTGGACGTGCGCAACAATGCTGCGCGGGGCCCCCCCAGGACCGTCAGGTTTTCGTAGCAATTTGTCAGTTTATTGCTATGTCGAAGCGCGAAAGGGGCCGGCATGAGCGGATCAGCTAGTTCGCCAACCCCTGCCGGCAGCACACTGCGAAGGTTGCTTGCATCATCAGTCCACACAAACTCGAACCGCGAACCGAAACAAACATGGCAGGGAAATGGGCATCGGGTGTGTTGCGCATTGGTGTGAGCATGGCGTAGAAATCGGGGGTGTCTGGCGGCCTCTAACGCGGAGGCAAACTGCTGTGCTAGGGTTGGATGGATACTTTCGACCAAACCATAAGTTGAAACTGCAACCACTGTGGCCGCGAAGCTTCCTGCGAGTGGGGGCACGTTCGCCGCGGGGCAACAATGGATTTGCAACCAAGGCTCCTGCATTCCGACCAGCCGTGCGAGCAGCGCCATGCAACGCAGCACGTGCTTGCCAGTTTCTTCCCGCAGCCGGTGACGTCTTTTGCCGGCTGCTCCGCACAAACTGCAGGCCATGAGAAGGTCTCCCGAGGCAACGGTACATGCCTGACCGAAGCCTGTACCCGTCAGGGGATGAGATCAGAAACGGAATGCGCGACAACGCACATCAGGCGCACGACAGGAACGCAGCGACGTTGTCTTGCAAGCTGCGGTAAAAAGATAGCGAAATGCGGCGTCCGGGTCGCTCGTTCTCACGTGCCCGCAATCCATGCCCCAGCAAGCTTAACGGTCAAGGCTTAACGCTCTCAACAAAGCCTCAGGCGGAATTCATGACCGCATTCATGGTGACGGTGCGATCCGGAACGCAACGAAAACTCACCCGACAGCCTGCATAAAGTTTCGAAGAAGGTTATATTCGTGGAAAGCCGCACAAAGGCTGACCGGTGGCTGGCAGGCTGGCAATCACAATCCGTTCAACAAGATGATCTTCGCATACAGCTTAATCATGAATCGTTAGACAAACTGGCACAATCGACGTCCTTTGCACATAATATGGAATCGTCCCGTCACCGCTTGGAAATCGCCAAAACGACCTGCAGGCAGAGCCACCAGCGAGGCTGTAACCACCATCAACTCTGCTTGTCGTGATGCTTTCACACCCGAGCCTGCCACTGAGAGCCATTCGCAACCTGCCGACTGATGGCGTATACCGAAATAAACATACGTCCACGAATAATGAATAATGCATGACATGATCCGCTGGGGCACCTTCGTTGGCTTCGTTGTCCAGGCGGCGATCTGCAGCAAGGGTCTAACTAAAATCATTTGCACCAACTTTTGCAACTCGGCCACACAGTAACCGATGCCTTGGGGCGTTTGATCCTGCCACAACCTAACACCACGAAAACACTACGTGATCCCGACTTATGGCATTGGAAAACAGTCCATCTTTCGAAACCAGCCCGCCTCATTATCCTCGTCATTGAAGGTAACAGACCTCTCCAGTTGAAATGTTGTACACCGCTGGTTATTTTGCCGTGCAACACCAGCTCGGCTGTTGGCCTGCTGGTGCGTGGCATGGGCACCATTGACGGGTGTTGTGCGTCGGCCTGTTCAGAACTTCCCGTCCGGAAACAACAGGAGAATCATGCTCTGAGTTTTGCGGATGTAAAGCAACGGCAATGTCCGCATGCTTGGCAGCCAACTGTGGCCGCTGCCATGGTGGCGACCAGCACGTGCCGGATGCAATGATTCAATGAAGCGAAAACCAAATCAGTAGCAAGCTTGTTCAAACTAAATAAGCATCAACTGTGCTTGGCAGTGGGCATCAATGCTTGTGAACGTTGCTCTTCAAGCTTGTTCCATGTCCAAGCCAATGCAACTTCCAAGCAATGTCTGTGTGTTGTTTCAAAACAGCATCCATGAAAATTTTGTGCAAGATGTGGTGGTGATTTGCTTGTAACGGTTTTCCACTGAAAAAGCTGACTACGACACACAATTCCAGCACCACGCAAGACAAAAATGCTCACCATTCATTCTGTCCACTCTCCACAACTGCGGAGCCAGCGTGTGACTGCTTACACGGTCAAGACAGTCCGCTGGCGGGTCTGCGCCGCTCAGTGCGTACAACGGACCACGTTTTTCATCTGTTCTTAGAACGTCATGCACTAAACACCACAAACGCCAAGTGCACCCGTTCATGATCAGGTGCCTTGCAACCAAATCCCTTTTTGCAATGTTGTTCAATTCAAAACTAAAGCCGCCCACCCAAACCAATCCTCCGAACCAACCCACTTAACCGACCCTTTTCGGCATCTATCAAGATCAAATCAAGCAAAGAATGCAAGCCGCTTTGGACATCTTCAAAAGTTGCTGTGGCTTAGCAAAAACGCTAAAAATGACTGGCTCTGCACGCTTTGCAGAAAGTATGACCTGTTTCCAATCTGGATCCAACCCGTGAAACCCAGGTTAAACCAGGTTCAAACCCAGGTTAAATCTAGGTTTCGAACCAGTCTGTGAGGAACTCGAACTGAAGTGAAACAAGTGATCTTCAGGTGAGGTGACAACGTTTCCTGCCGACTTCTATCTTTTTGGCTTGAGCGGGCCTCGTCGACTACAGCTGTAGCACTCGGTCCCATCAAACAAACAAACCAACAAACAAACCAAAACAGCGGTGAAACAAGGCGGCTAATTGACAGAGGTCGACAGCTAGCTGCGGCGCACATCCTTTGCCGGTGTTGGCCGTTCAGCGCAAGCTACGGTCCCTCAGCGACCGATCCGCAACAACCGTGGGCCGTCGCCCAGAGCTGTCCAAAACCATCGGTGGAGCCCAAGTCAAAGCTCCGGCCGCCGTTCTAGTCCCGTCGAACAACGGACAGCCCCGAGGTCTTGTTGCGTCACGATCGTGCACAGAAAATCCACAAGTCCACGGAACCGGCAACCAGTGGCGGGTGCCAGATCAAAAGACCCTTCGACGTATGTCGAATGTCATGGACAGTGGAACTGGTGCCAGCTTCCTTAACGGGCTCGCTCCGAAGTAGACGGGGGCCATTGATCCAGCAGGCGCTGCATGTCGCTGCCACCGGTCGGAAAATGAGATTCCCGCAGTAGATACAGCAGTTGATACTGGCCTTCAGTATACAAGGTCTTGAGTCGGTAAAAACCATACTGAAGCGTGTCTGTGTCAGGCTCATGGAGATGAGGCATGAGCTCCTCGGTAATAAAGGGAAGCTGAATGCCCGGGCCAATGCCACCCTGCTCCATGAAAGCCTGAACCGCTGCTCGCCAGCTTTCCTGTCCCCAAGGGTGGCCAAGCCGGTATCGTGGACGGCTACCGTCGGGCATAGCATCCTGATTGGACTCTTGTGCCACCAAGTGGTGGATTAGGACTTGGGCCCTGCAGTCGCTTGCATCGAATAGGGCAAAGCGCCACAGGCGTGCTGGGATGTAGAAGTCCATTTTCCGAGGGCCGCGCAACCAGAACACAACAACATGACTGAGCTCCCAACCGGAGGTGGTGGCAGCTGTGCGAAGGCGAGACAAAGCGGCATGCAAGAGCCCAGCAGACTGGATTGGGAGCGTAGGCTGTGCTTGCAAACCCAGAGAGGAATCATCTAACGGAAGCAAGAGTCGAAAGGTCCCTTTATAGACACCTGGGTACGAAAACATCTGAGGGTCGAAATCCCCGCGTCTAGCTGGGAGAAGTCCACGATGGAAGCCTTCCATCACGCGGGCAGCGATTGCGATTTGGGGCTGGCCTACAAGAGAGGCCGGCACCTCCGCCTTGATTCTAATCTCCACAAACCGCGAGCCATTGTGCTCGACGGGCGCGACCTTTGCGAGCTGCAGGAGGGAAGCCGCATCAGGCTCGTCGGTCAGGGCCCTGGTTAAATAGAACACCAACTGTACCGGGAGCAAGACACCGCAATGAAGAAGGGGGGTACCCTGCTGCGGATCGGTGCTCGAGTTCCCCCCTGCCGTGGGTCGCTGAGTGTTGGAGCCGGCGCCACGGTGGCGTTTGCCTGTTTCAGTGGGCCCTCTTCTAGGCGCGAGGGACATTTGGATGAGGCTACCGTCACGGACGGGTGACTTGATGCCTGCCTTGGCATTCGGGAGCGAGAACCGGAGTCCATCCAGTTCATCCAAGAGCAACCACCACCAAATTTCCGGACGCGCCAACTCATACCACAATAAATCAAAGACTCGGCCCTCGGGCAACCGCAGCACCGGGTCGCAGAACTGGGCCAGCGCTACGGACACTGCCAACAGGGGTGTGAGGCACACCCTGGCCGTACAGTGTCGCAGCATGAGAACACGATCGGCAAAGTCGACAACTCGCGCTCCGAAGTTCTGAAGGCTGATCTTGACTTCGCATGCCGGTAATGAAAGGGGAAGCGACAGAAGGGAGACCCCGCCCTTGGCCTGGTAGCGGCGAAGGATCTCGTGCTGTTCTGCAAAGTCATCCTCCTCCTCAGGCGGGGCACTTTTGCTGGGAATGGCGTCAACCCCGGGCACCAGGCGGTTTGGCGGGATGTCGACGGCGTTTAGCAATGCTGCCACTCTCTGGCTCCACGCAGTGTCAGGAGCCTTGGGAACGGAGGCGGCACAGCTTTGGCTGCGAAGCTCTGCCGTCCAGCCAGGATCCTCTTTAGTCGGTTCGCCATCTGCCGGGTCGGGCGATGCAAACCCATCTTTATCATAGAGAGCACGGGGCAGACCTGTGGTGGCGACCGGCGGGAGAAGGGCGTCAGGTAGATCGGATTTATGCAGTAGCGTCGACACAAGGTGTTGGAGCCGCCCCAGCAACATCTTGTCGACTGTGTCAGAAGCAACAGCATATAGGTAAAACACCCCTGGAACCGAGGATCGAGACCAAAAGCCCCGCGGCGTCATTTTGACCCCGGCACACAGTTGTCCGCGTATCCACCGTGATATGCGCCCCGATTGAAGACCGGTGATGCGGGGAACGGAAGGCGCTATAGGCTCGTTTTGGTGGCTTCAAGCCCACCCCCTTGTGGTGGAGGCTGAAGCGAGGTGGGTTAGTTGAACTCCAGCAACCCAAAAACGGGGTTTTTGGTGTCGAGCACAGGGTAAAACGGGCGTACTCGTATGGGCTGCCCGGTAGGACCGCTGTGCTCAAACTCCGTGCCGCGCAGGAGCAACTGCACGGGGTAGCCAGGCAAGCCACTACTTCGACGATCGGTTGTTTAGTACTTGAGTAGCAAAGTTGAGGGAATTATACAAACGCGATAGTCATGGTTAGCAAGTTCGCTAAGTCATATTTAGTGGAGTTAATAAGACCTACATCTATAGTAGTTGCATTACAGTAATTAGTACTTGTGTTGAAGCAGATACTATTTGAATACAATGTAGGCTATCTGGATAGCATGGTTATGCTAGGACTTCCGTGAGTTAGCTAAGTCCAAACCAGCACAGATAGTGGAGATAGGATAAACATTCTATGTCACATGTGTACTTGTGCTAAGTGCAGTTATGTGTAGAATATATGCATGTCTAAGAACAGCATTTTATCATGTCCAGACAGCACATTATTGTTTGAATGCCACGGACATTGCTGTGTTTGCAGACTTCAGAATCATTTTTTTTGATGATTGCCGCAAACATATCTTCATGATTGTAGCAGCTCGCCGGCATTTTTAGCCTGGCAGGGCTTATTTTTGCATAGAAACCCATGGACTGTTTTTTGCAGCTTCTGGCTGAAGACTTTGTTTGTTTTGGAACCGACACTTCCCGATGTCGCTGACACACGAAGTGTCGCAGCAGATCCAAGCGATTTTGGATCGGAGCAAGGGCGGGGACTTCCTCGTGAAGTCGGTGCAAGAGCTCTTTGGGCTCCTTCGCAAAGCTGGCCTCATGACCAGCATGACCTTGCCACCCCTTTCTGTTGGAGTGCATCCACAGAACCGTGATGGGATTATGCTCAACCAACAAGACTGCCATGAGCTGTTAGACTCCATAACCCAGGTGGGCTTCGTGCCTTCGAGGGTCGAAGCCATAGGTGTGGAGGTGTGCAACGAGCAAGAGAGGTCGTACAACGTCCAGCTGTGCACGGCGGCAGCGGGGAATCTGGGCTCGATGGACCCGGGGGCCCTGAAGATCCTCAGTCTCAGTGCCTCTCACACGAATTTTGCACTCAGGCTGGTCGCCAGTGCGGCACCGCATGTTTCTGACACGTTGTCAGTGAACGGAATCCAGCCTCGAACAAGTTCGTCTGCGAGATCCTGTGCTGGCCCAGCATGTGGAGCAGGGGCTGACATGGAATGTCATTGCCAAAGAAGTGGCAGTGGCCCATCCTGCTGTACTTCAGCTCGTGCAAGCCAGCCAGAATGCGACATTACAGAAATCGGAGAGCGAGATGCAGTTGCTGAGGAGGGTCTTTAGCTTGTGCAGTCGCGAGAACCCTCCAAACTTCCAGCAGGTCAAGAGCATGGCCCTGAACTCAAAGCCCCCGTGTGCGGAGACATTTCCTGCTTTGTACACATTCGCACTTCGGTGGCTGGGCTTTGATATAGATTATATAGATGCTAAATGTTTCTCTTTATATAGGGATTTGGGTGCATGCATGCATGTGTGAGGTATTGCGGCGGCTCTGCGGGGAGATTTCTCCGTGAGACGGAGATGTTCATTCGGAGTCAAGGCAATACCCGGTCGTTGGGCTTGGGGTTCTGGCAGCTGCTCGCCCAGGACTTCATGAAGGGGCAGCAGCAAGTTCCCCACATGAGGCATGCAATCCTCAAAGTTGCCTTGTCTGCTACTGGTTTGACACAGACCAATGCCAAGAAGATGTTTTCTCGGGGTTGCAGCACCAAGATCTTGGAAGGAGAGAAAGTTCTGAAGGAGCTTCGCGAACTCGTCTCCAGTGCAGGCACTGACATCTTGCAGGATGTTCGTTTCGTCAACATTCTCGGCATCGTGGATATGACGGTGGCCAGGTTTTGCCTTGGACTTCAGGCAGAGGACAAAGACACCGGCAAGGATTACAAGAGCATCCAAGGCATTGCTCACGATGCCACCATGGTCTTCGCAACCATAGGGGTGGAGTTGACTTCTCCGTGGCAAGCTTGTGCCGAAGCATCGAAGGGAGGGCAATCCTCTGCACAGGCAGCAACGGAGAGAATGAGGGAATTGAATGCCGACGGATCCTTGCGGAATGCATCAGAACTTCTTGCAGACAAGGGTTTCAAATTGCAGGCATTCGTCCGCCGAAAGGCAGACAAGCTAGAATGCAGAATCGATGCCTTCCAGGGCCAGCATGTGCATCTGACCGAGCTCGGAAAGAAGGGAGTGATGAAAGTGCCTTTCGAGCAATTCATGGGTGGGGCCTGGGCTACATTCCAGCCCAGGAGTGAGCCTGAGATGATCGAGGACCTCAGTGTCTTCCACCCGTCGGAGTGCCATGACTTCCAGGCGGCTGTGGTCGTGGCATGCATTCAGAAGGAGCTGGCGTCCTATCGCAGCTATCCATGCAGCTCAAGCCGACGAAGGCCCTCGTGACCAAGGAGAAGTTCAATAAGGGGCAGCTCGTTCTGGTCCCATCTTCCTTCAAGATCGTGCAGAGGCCCACATCCCAAGGAGATTTGCCCAATGGTGTGAAGGTCCAGGTTGATTGGGCTTTGGATGAGCGATCATTCTGGATTACGGCATCCAACAGCACGCCGAAGGCAAGCGAGACCTTCCAAGCTGGTAGGTATTGTTTCGCTCCCTTCTTCATGGTGCCAGCTTCAGAAGAAGTCGATTCCGTGAACCTCGTCTTGTGCAATGCAAAAACCAATGTCTCGAAGCTGTTGATCCCCATCTTGAAGAATACCCATGCAATCCCCAAAGGCACCTCGTTGCTGCAGGCCCCGATCAAGAAGGACAACAAGAGGGAGAACTTGGAGATGCCGAAGCCCGTGAAGCGGGTGAAAGGCAAGCACTGAGTGCATTTGACCGTGCCGGAGTTTTGGTGTCAGACAGAACGAGTTTTGGCGCACAGAGCTGTTGAAACGGGTTCGTGCATGCTCGGACGCCATCACCGCCCTGCAGGGCTGCAAGCTCGCAGGCAGTTTTTGTGCAGATTGCATGCATGAGCTGATTCAAACCTGACATGAAACATGACATGTATGCATGAACCCTGTGCTTCGAAGCTGGCAGAGAACATTTCGAGCTTGTGTCTTTTGTGTATAGGATATCTCTGCCATGGCTTTGACAGTGAAGATGCAGCGGGTCATTTCAGATGGCAAGCAAGATCTTGTGCTTCCTCAAAAAGAGGTGTCGGGCTTGGAGTTCGTTTGCTTGGAGAAGTGGAACCGGCAGCTCGTTAAAATGCTGACAGGAAAGGCCCTGGACCTTAGGCCGGGGAAGGCTGCAGCATCCGGCAGTCTCAGCTCGAAGGTTTGGGGGGAGATCGTGGAGCAGCGACAGAATGTCGCCAACCAAAAGCTCCAGGAAGCCCTCGAGGTTGAGGTCAAAGATAATACTGCCAATGGTGCCCGAAAAAAGCCTAAGGCAGTGAGGGCAAACAGCAAGCACATGATTATGCTGCCAGAAGTGCTCGACATCGAATGTCGCGAACGTGGCCTCAAAGTCTTGATTGAGGGGATCAACACCCAGACCATTTGGATGCACTTCACAGATGCAGAGGAAGCGAAGCCTCGGGTGACACGACGATCCGGCAGCAAGAAGCGAGCCCGGGGTCACAGCAGCGACGAGGAGGCCGAGGACGGCGAGGTTGATGGGGAACAGAAGGACGAAGACTATTGATCGGCAGCATGTTTCCCATGTCTATATATTACATAGACGATTTTGAGGGGCCACTTTGCATTCTTGCGAGGGAAAGAAGAAATGTGGTATACAGCTTTGCTGCTTGCCATATCATACAATGAATGATGGATGCCTTTTCTATTACACACACGGAGTTTGGGGTCCATCAGGACACAACCAATCACTTCCAGTTTTGTCATAATATGTGGCTAAAGTCGACGAACACCTGAGGTCTAAGTCACACCTGAATGATCAGATTGCAGCAACCATGCAGGAACTCAACTGTGGCAAACATGAAGCTGTCACTCTAGTGTTGGTTACTCCAGTGCCTCAGGGGGCCCACTGGCTAATCCGAAAGCAGGTACACAGTGGTGATCAGCCACTGCATCCACTCCAGTGATTTGGCTTCGTTGGGCAAGGCTGATCACTGGAGCCCTTGCCCCCCTGCTGACAAAGGAACATTGTAGCATCGGAAATCACTTGCATCGCACATGCCAAAAACCTCTAGCTTAGAATCGAGGCTTACACACACACACCCCTCAGTGAGGGGACGTCCTGGGTCCTGGGTCCGACTTCTGTGGCAACGAGACATACAATGCATTGCTGAAGAACGTTAGTAGTGAAAGCGTCCAAACCTCCAGGTTACAAGTACAGGCAGACAAATGCATACACGTCCTCATGTATACCTCAAAAAGTAAAGCTGGGTCCTGTATCCAATCGCATCCGGCACTGGTTCTTTTACAAAAACTCGCGACATCAAGTCCTGTCGGAAACAGATCCTGTCGGAATCTATCGATCACAGATGCTGGTAACCGTCTTCATCGTGCAGGAAACAGTAATGCGGCCCGTACCAATCATGTTGTTGTTCCTGCGTAGTATGGTGACTGTGATAGCAGCAACGATTCTCGCAATGGTGGCACCGATGTGAACAACGAATAGGTCCGTCCTGAAACCGGAACCTGCGATTGAGTCTGTCCCAAATCTGCCAGAGCAGCTCCAACAACTGAGCTGTGGATGCTTGACTGACACGCCACTGAGTGTCTCTCATCATTTGATTGTCCATGGCTGCTGATTACCTGCAAGATATGTAGACTCGAACCTGAAAAGTGGATCCATGCGTTGCCTCCTATGCACATGCTGCACAACAGAGAAAAGCGAAGAGAGAGAGAGAGAGAGAGAGAGAGAGAGAGAGAGAGAGAGAGAGAGAGAGAGAGAGAGAGAGAGAGAGAGAGAGAGAGAGAGAGAGAGAGAGAGAGAGAGAGAAAAGAGAAAGGAGAGAAAGAGAGAGAGAGAGAGAGAGAGAAGAGAACAACAGCTGTGGTTTTGTTTCCGGGACCTGGGCAGGTTGCAAGTTGTTAGTCCGTCGACGATTTCTTCGCTGTCTTCAAGACATAGCGAACCAAGTCCAATGTGCTGCGGAACCTCTTCTTAGGTCCTGGTTTTTCTTTAACAATGCGATTGCCATGTTTTTGAAGGAAGCCGAGGATCAGCGAAGCACGATTGGGAATGTAAAAATCGTCGCCTAAAATGCGGGTGTTCTCCATATGGCGTCGAAACATTCTACGAGGGCTAGGAAGAATCTTGATCCTAACACCATCAGAGTCCTCATCCATCATGCGCAAACGTCGACGAGGTTTGTTAGGAATTGGCTCTGGATCCGGAACAGAAGCCACTTCAGGAACAACTGCAATGTCCTCCAATGATGGTTCCTCCGTGGTGCCTCCAATGTGTGCAGAGTCTACATCCGAGAAATCCTCCGGGGTGATGCACTGAGGTATGCATGTAGAAGAATTATCCCCACTGTCAGTCTCACTCAGATTGTCGACGTGCCATCCTGAGGGCATATACTCGCCAGAGATGGAGAAAGAGTCACAGTCATCTGACACAACCTCCGGAACGAATCGAGCCATGGTGCATTCCCTTGCTCCTACCGAGGGTCCTGAACCTATGCGTCGACAGAAATGCACAAGGGACGTTCAAGAAGCCAACACTGCAGCAACCACAGTCCTAGCACGTACCTTTTATACAGGATGAATCAGTCACCATACCTGTGGATTCCACCGAGTTGGGTGGTTCTGTACATCATCGGAATCCCTGAAATCAGGAGCGCTCCTCACGAATTGAACCACATCCAATGTAGCCAATGCAGTGATCGGTTCAAGGAAAGAGAAATGCCTCCCGTTTTGATGTAATTGGAAACACTGCAGCTGGGGGCGACGTCCTGTCATCTCTTTGATCCTATATGTGAGAAGTTTCTTGACTGCATCAATATTGTCCACACTGCAGCACACCAAATGAACGATCATCGCCTGGTTCCTGGTACATCGATCAGCTGGCATCTGAACTGTAACTCTGACAGCTTGCGGTTGACGCGGAAAGCCCGCGTCGGCGGCTGTCCGTTTCATGGCTTTGATGTACGAATGTTCTAATCCTGCAGCCGTGAACTCTGCAACAAGTATGTGCGCTCACTGAAACCCTTGCGACCAAAGTGGGTGAAAGAGAGGAGAAGGGAAAAGAGAGAGAGAGAGAGAGAGAGAGAGAGAGAGAGAGAGAGAGAGAGAGAGAGAGAGAGAGAGAGAGAGAGAGAGAGAGATGGAGAGAGATGAAGAGAGAGAGAGAGAGAGAGAGAGAGAGAGAGGAGAGAGAGAGAGAGAGAGAAGAGAGAGAGAGAGAGAGAGAGAGAGAGAGAGAGAGAGAGAGAGAGAGAGAGAGAGAGAGAGAGAGAGAGAGAGAAAGAAGGAAGAGAGAGAGAAACCAGCGCGCAATTCAATCTGAAACATCAGCACTACTGCAACTGACCAAAGGTCCTGTCCTTTTTATGTGAATCGGATGCCGACAGACTTTAAAAGGTGGTGTGCAATCGGTGAAAGAACGCTGTGTGAGAAGCCTTGGGCCCGGTAGATTTCAACTAAGTCCTCCACCTGTGGCCGAATCAAGCGCATCGGTCGTGAAAGTCTGATGATCGTGCGAACCCTAGCTGAGAAACCAGAAAGAACGAGTTCTTTCCTTCCAACTGACTGCAACGTGCGAATGGTTGAAGCATCGGTGGGTTGTACCACCGTGATGGTGCCCTGCACGTTGGAACATGTGGTGCCTAGAAAGTTCTCAGTCAACACGTCCTCCAGGATGATGGGTGAGCCGTAAAATTCAAGATGAAAAAGTAGTTGAAGCCATGGGTTCCTTTGAATGCCTGCATGTAAATGAAAGACACGGTTGTCCGCATATCGAGCGGCAGTCTGAAAACCAATGTTATTCAGAATGGTGCGAAAATTCCGAAGCCACAGAAATTCCGTGGTCGAAGCGACCAGAGTGCATAACACTGGTGCAAGTGCCGATCCCATGCTGGCTCCTTGAATCTGCTTGAAGGTGTGGATGCCACATTGAAAGAAACTGGACCGCAGTAGGAACCCAACTAACTCAGGCAGGTCCTCCAAGGGAAGCGTCTTTGTGTTCCTCGCGGCAAACCTGCGGCGTCCACGAAAGACTCGAAAGTTGGGATCCTTGCTGCGAACAGAAACCTGCAAGGATTGCTGTTGCCACGGTTTGTGCCAACGATCTTCTAGGAGCTGCAGAACGAAAAGCAAAGATTGCAGAATGCGATCATGTGGTACTGAATTGAAGAAGCCCACCAGGTCCTGTTGCTTCATGATGGTGGGTTCATCTGCCGAATGCCCCATCATCGAGTGCCAGATCATGCGAACTGCTTGTTGAACCGACAAAACATTAAAGGTGGAACCAGTCGGAAAAACAATCAACATGATCTGAAAAATCGCCTTGGCCAAAAAGGTGGTCAAACGAGAATGCCAACAATGATCACATCCAATGATCGGTCTTGCTTTGAGGAAGTCCTTGCTGGGTTTGGGCAGAATCCTTGCTATGGGTAAAGATGCACTCCACTGACATCCCCAGCCATACCTGGAAGGCCACCGAGGGGTAGATTGGAAGCGCGACTTCAAGTTCGACATAATGGAAGAAGTGCCCACACTGCATCTTTGAAAGACTGTCTCATCTAAGAAGGTAGTATCCAACAATGAATGAAAAGCGAAAGGACAAGCAACATGTAAAGAACAAGGAAAATGATCAGCCGGTGTAAGAACAAGTCCTCGTAAACGTCGAAGATCGCGAAGAACTGCTGTGTGAATCGAACGCTCATCAGAACGCAAAGTCTGTTCATGTAATTGACATTGACTCAAAACCCACTGCCGCAGTCCTGCATGAACTCGACGAGGTAACCTCCACCTGTTGCACCATCGTTGTATCTCCCTGTTCGCAATCTGCCGCCATTGTGCTGTGGGCAAAAAACAGGTGTCGTTGAGATTCAAGAAGGCCAGAGGTGAACTCGGAAGAATCACTCGCGCATGAACAAACAAGTGTCCTGTCGTCCATGACGTCGAGAAACTGGTACACCTGCAGGCCTGCGGTTTCCCTGGCTGCCATGATCGAAGAAAGGATCGGTAATTGAAAGCAGTCCTAGACCAAGGACGAGATTTAATCTCAATCATTTTGCAGGATGGTAAATGCAGAGGCGGGAAGTTCACTCGTTCCTGTTGTACAAGGTTACGAAGAGCCATGCATACTTCCTTGGCAAGATCATGTGCAAGAGGTGGAAGGCGAAGGGGAACATTGGTGGGCGGCATGTGTCCTCGTCGGAACTCCATGATCAATCGCAACTGCTGAGTAGCTCGGGTTTTGAACGGTTCGTCAATCATGTTGACCAACCTGCACCTGAGATACAACTCCTGCAAAGGTGTACGATGAGACCGAAGTCTCCTGGATTCCAGAAATTTCTCCAAGCTATCACTGCCCAAACGATAGAGAGAGAGAAACACCTGCTTGTTGTTCAAGAGATGCTGATGATAGAGTCCATGACGACGTCGAATCAAAGCCTGACACTTCTTGGTGAACCGATGGCCTGTTCTGGCTTGAGGCAAACGGAATCTGTTCTGCTTGATCCGTAGAGACTTCAACAGATCCAATACCCATGGATGATTCAAAGCCGGCCTAAGTGTCCGAATCAAAGCAGCTTCCGTGGCGAGCAATGACAGAGTATCAGAGTCCTGATATAGGGCCAACACAATACCTTGATAGAAATCACGTCGGCGATGAAACACTTTGAGTGCAGGCTCGAAATAGGATAGTCGTTTCCTAACCAACTGAATGAACTTACGACGTCTGGAGGCTTCTCGTCCTGGAACGGTTGTCCTGGTAGCTCCAACATATAGAGTCGCCGTGGTTGCCGGTCGATTCACCGACACACGAAGATAAACCATATGTGAAGTTTGATGCCAAGACCATGGATAGTGTTTGGGTACACGAAACTGCACCAGAAGATCACGAATGCGCACGAAAATGCCCGTGGAAAAGCAAGGCAAAGCGTTCGAAAATAATGCACACGAAAAGATGTGGGAACGAACCCACATGAATCTGTCGACCACCTTGTGGGGCATGAGAATGTAAAGGATTGGGAGAATCAGCGAGAACCATCGGAGAAAAGTAACAACAAATCGCTTTCGCTGGGTCCTCGTCTTGCTCGAAGCCGCATGTAGTCACTGGTTTGCCAGCAAATGGGCTCCCGCGATCAAGCGAGTGAGGCACTTCTCATTCAACTTAGAAGCTAGAGAAACTGAGAGACCCCATTCCACTGCGATTTTGTCAACTGGCTTCTTGTTACCATCGTCAAGCTTAGCACAAGCAGCAACAAACTCGGAAACTGCAGTGTCGATCACCTTATTCTTGCCCTTTCCGATAGCAGTGGATGCTAGCCAGTTGTTGACACTCTTAAGATTTGTGGCCTCCAAGCTGCAACTCTCAAGGTAGAGAGTACTGTCACGATCCGGGAGATACTGCGAGTATGTGTCCTGAGCATCGAGGGGGCCTTTGTCCTGATTCTCCTCGTCTTCTTCAAAAGGGTCTTCGGCAGGCGATCTGAACATGGCGGTTTCTTCGCCATCACCCCCACCCGCAAGGTCCTCTGTGCCGAAGTCCATGGGGCTCCTGGGCTCCGTCTTCTTGGATCCTGAAGCGGGAGCGCCCCTGCGGCGAGGAAGAGCCGGTTGCGCTGAACGAGGTGGCTTACCCTTCAAACGAGCATTCTCGGTCTCAAGAGCATGAAGCCGCTGCAGCAAAGTCTGATTGGTCTGAACTGGTGCATGCTTACGAAAGTCCTTCACCAGGTCCTCGGCCAATTTCTGGATTGTCTTGTAGCGAGCAGACCAATCTTGAAGCTCCGACGATGGAAACAACTTCTTCTGAGTAGCATTCAGAATGGTAACAAAATCGGTGCCCTCCTGTTCTGCTTGTTCAGAGCGAAGTGCCCTCATTAAGACCCCCGCAAACACTCCTTCCTGTTTGGATCGAAAGTTCTCCCAATGCACGGCACGACCATGAGCGATCTGTCGTAGAGCCCAATTAGAAGTGCCCCCTGAGACCACCCGATGTAACGGCACCTCAAAGATCTCCACGCCTGAAATGTCAAGTTCTCGAGTAAGACGATTAGAGGTCACACGTCTCGGCAACGTCAGACCATACACCCTGTTCGAGTCCCACTCCTGCCTGCGAGGTCGACCTCCATGACCCCGGAAGGTTTCCACTTCTTCGCTCAACTCTCGGGGAACGAGTACGAGATCTGTGCCGAGTGGTGCGACCCGAAGAAGAAAACTCAGGCTGTCTGCGATGCGAGCGCGGTGGGCTTCGAGATCGCGAATCACGACGACGATGCGACATGGCTCAAATGCACTGCAGGAAGACTTGAAAGGCCAAAAACTGTGCAAACATGTATGTTGAACAATGACAATGCAAATGCCAATGCAAGAAGTCCTGCCCGGTGAACGAAAAGTGCAAGGCTCACACGTCCTGGTTTGTTTTCTCAGTCCTGTGCGAAAAGACGTCAGTCGCCTGCACCACGCTGGATCTGCTGAGCATGTGTCAGAGGAACCTGAAAAAGCGGGCGACCGAAAGCATCTCTCAAAGGGGTGAACTGCTTGGCAACTGCCACTGTGAAACCTGCCACTGTGCTCCTTCCACTGTGAATCACATATTTGTGGTCCCGTTTGAAGTGAACGACCCCATGTATGAGGCACTGTTGCTGGGCGTCTTCTCCACCGCCCGACTTCAAAACGAAATGCTGGCCGGGAACACTAGCATATCCATGAGTGATAATGGGACAAGCCCATTTTGCAGAGTTCGTAACCCTATCAAGAATCTGCACAAACGACATGTCATCGCTCCACGGAGTTGCCTGCGAATAGTGGCCTACGGCCTCCGGGCCGTCCGCCAGTGTGGCGGGTGCCAAAAACCGAGATTGAATTATCCCTTGTACGCCTGCAATGTCCGAGCCGTGTGCAAAATAATATAAGTTGCGAAGTTCAGCAGAAGAATCATCATGTGGTACAAACCGCTCAGTCAAATCGAAACTCCAGTAAACATGTGCCTTGGACTCATGACACTTCACTCGACTGAACATGCGGGATGTATCTCCTGTGTAACAGCACATCATCGTTGCAAAGCAGTGAAGTTCGAAAGGAGGCAAATTCTGAAAACCTGATTCCTCGCAAAGGTCAGTCAGAATCTTCATATTGTTTCGAATCTCGTCCTCCGGAGCTGCCTGCATGATAAGCCGTCCCTGCCAACTCTTGAGCTTGACACTGACTGCTCCACCCACTGTCCTCGACAAAACCAACTCAGAATGCACGTCCTGACCACTGGTCGTAAGCAGAGGATCACCTGCATACTGCGGAGGCTGTGTCGGAGTGCAATCACTACCTGCAGGAAGCGCTGGTGGAGGAGGAGGTGGTGGAGGAGGGGGTGGTGGTGGTGCAGCCGACGATGGGGAAGCTGGCGACTTGCGCTTGAGTCCTGTCTGTGCAGGAGTGCGAGTGGTCGCCATTGCAACAGCACGATCTGCCATGTCCTGTTGAACCTGAATATCAATATCTGAAGCAGAATCAACAACTGGCTGTTTGGTCTCTGCTGGTGACTTACACATCTCGACTGCTCCCAGCATCTGTTCCCTCCTCTGCTGCAAAGCTTGTCCCACTGATCCCTTAGGAACTTTAGCAGCATTCTTGGCACGAGCAATACCTCGCGAAGTAAGCTGGGGTGCATTCGCTGTGCCTGCAATCGATCGATCACTGTCCGACGAAACTTCTGAAGTGTCCTCACGATCTTCGGAAGCAGACGAAGAGTCTATCGTCGGAATGTCCCGTCCTGTAGAAGTTCGATCTGGCAGAACATTGTCGATCTCGACTCCCTGGTACCCAAAATTGGGCAACGGAATCACTGAAGGCGAAGGTCCTTCCTCCTCCGAGTTATCAATCCCGGAAACATCTGCATCCGGCACAGGATCCATGTTCGCAGAACGAAGAGACTACCAAAACAAACAAGCAAAACAAACAAAGCAAATTGAAGCCAAGATGCTACCGCGACCAAACATCTTTGGTTACCGTTGCTTCTTTGTGTACTCCAGGCTACTAGAGCCACTTTAGGACCGTCGGGCCACACAAGCCCATCACCTGGCCAATCGGGGCACTGTCTTTCCGGTTGCTCGCTAGGAGCACTTAGACCCATCACCTGACACGAAAAGGGCCACTCTTTATAAATGCCTTTGCACCATTGACCTGTCCCGAAGGAGTACGGCCTGTTCTGTTACCATCATGGGCCGCAAGAAACGTACCCTGGCAGTCCGCAGGAGCGGTTGTTGCCGTTGGCGACAAGGCCACACACGGAGTTTGGGTCCATCAGGACACAACCAATCACTTCCAGTTTTGTCATAATATGTTGCTAAAGTCGACGAACACCTGAGGTCTAAGTCACACCTGAATGATCAGATTGCAGCAACCATGCAAGAACTCGACTGTGGCAAACATGAAGCTGTCACTCTAGTGTTGGTTACTCCAGTGCCTCAGGGGGCCCACTGGCTAATCCGAAAGCAGGTACACAGTGGTGATCAGCCACTGCATCCACTCCAGTGATTTGGCTTCGTTGGGCGTTGGGCAAGGCTGATCACTGGAGCCCTTGCCCCCCTGCTGACAAAGGAACATTGTAGCATCGGAAAACACTTGCATCGCACATGCCAAAGACCTCTAGCTTAGAATCGAGGCTTACACACACACACACACACACACTCACACTCACACTGCACACACACACTGCACACACACACAGTGCACACACGCCCGTGCACACACGCCCGTGCACACACGCCCGTGCACACACGCCCGTGCACACACGCCCATGCACACACGCGCGTGCACACACGCCCATGCACACACACGCCCACGCACACACGCCCATGCACACACACGCCCATGCACACACGCCCATGCACACACGCCCATGCACACACGCCCATGCACACACGCCCAGACAATGTCATCCTGAGAGAAATGGCGCCTGCGAGCTACTGCTTCCCGACTCAGCAACAGTGGTCCACACGATGCGTGTCCAAGTGTGTAGCGTCTGCAAACTACGATACCGTCCTGCAATTTAGCACGGCTCACAATATGTGGTTGCGCCCCGGCGGGCCCCCCCCTCTCCCCCCACCCCCCCCTATATGGTATCCTGGTACGTACTTTTGTATATTTTCATAACCTCTCTTTCTCTCTCTCTCTCTCTCTCTCTCTCTCTCTCTCTCTCTCTCTCTCTCTCTCTCTCTCTCTCTCTCTCTCTCTCTCTCTCTCTCTCTCTCTCTCTCTCTCTCTCTCTCTCTCTCTCTCTCTCTCTCTCTCTCTCTCTCTCTCTCTCTCTCTCTCTCTCTCTCTCTCTCTCTCTCTCTCTCTCTCTCTCTCTCTCTCTCTCTCTCTCTCTCTCTCTCGGGCATAGGGGCGGGTCAACGCCCCGGGCATCATGCCCACCCGTCGTGTTGACGGACATGGGGGGTGAAGCAAGAATGGCGAACATTGTCACGGCTACAGCATGCTACAGCCATAAAGTATGCGATAACGAAAGACAAGGTTCCCCCATTCTTTTGAAGACATGTTTGCATATGCCGAATCCCCCGATTAAACGCTGAAAGAACATAATTTGCCCTTGATCTTAAAGATGATAGAACAGAAATCACCGGGGATTGTTTGGCAATGCATTGCACTATAGTGCCTTTTCAACGTTATGGTGGTGGATCACGGATTGTTGTAATAACAATGACACAGCACTCTCTACGGGCCTATAGGCAATAGCCTGAGTTCATGGAAGTTTGATTTCCGTGTCCACGGCATAACGACGCACGGTCATACGACATGATGTTCACATCCCCCGCAGCGGCAAAAGATGCTTACGACTCCTTGTCCCACATATATTCAACATCAGTGAAGAAAAAGAGAGATGTACATGTCGGTAAGTTGCACACTGAGGCTCAGAGAGTCATCCGCATGGCTTCGCTTCCTCCGGTTTGTACAACAACTCTTGGAACCTACAACAGTCCAGTATAAATAACGCAATTCATCGGGGAGAAGATCAGCGTTGGGATGGTTTGATGCCTAATCCTCTATTTGCGTAAGGTCTTCAGCGGGCAAAGAGGAAGCGAGCCCTTTCGGCTTTCGTTCTGGTCTGCCGTTTCCCCCGTCGATCACAACACAAAGTTAAAGTGATCAACAGCAACGTCACAACTTGGGGGCGAAAGACCAGAGGTTGGTTTGCAAAGGATTATCGTGGCGCAAGGCTGGATCTTAACTTTGTGACTAGTTCAAAACATGCAAAAATCTCAAGAATTACCCGTGTAGTCGGATCCAGCACTTTTCTTTGGCAGGAGTGCAGTAAGGAGAAACAACAGCTTGCAGGATTTAAAGCAACATGTGTGGCAGCAGCATTTGGCAGGCGGATTGTTTCAGGATGTAATTTGCTCGCGAACCGATCTCTGCCTGTCCCCCTGATAAAGGTAGGTATATGCACTGAGTAAACGTATGCTATATCGGAGAAATGGAAAAGGCTTAGCGTGGGGCAGGAGCGAAACGGTCATGCGTTCCCCCGCTCAGCTTCCTCTCAGATCGGCCCGTTGCGATCATAGAAGGCCGCATGTAGCCGACGGTGGCGGTGCTGCTGGGCTTTCGTCGCTGCCACTCGGAATGTCTTCCGTGGGGCTAGGCCCTTCTTGCGTCTGCTCCCCCGCGTCCATGTGGTTGCTGGCCGGAGCATTTCCCAAGCCATGGTGGTGGTCATGAAGCCACCATTGCCTGCTCATTGAGGAGGGCATCGCCACGTTTTGCAGCGCGGGGTTCATTCCCCCGGAGAGGTTCACCATCTCTCCCGGCAGAATCAGGTACTGCAGCAGCTCCCTGGAGTACAGGTAGTCCAGGATGTAGTGCGTCTTCCACTGCTTCAAGCGTTTGCAGGAGAGCTGCATGTATTGTATTGAGTTCACCTCCAGGCCAATCTTGTAGTTGGCTTCGCAGTGTTTGCATTTCCAGTACCACACCCTGGGCAGGACGGCGTCGACGGTCTCGAGCTAAGTGGGATGTGACGATCCCCCGGTGTTCTGCGATCACATCGGCCGGATGTCCAACGGGGTCCCCCAGCTCCACTGTCGCCAAATAGTGGCTGACATCAGCCAAGAGCAGCCAGTGCTCTCGCTGTTGTGGCTCCATCTGCACGCCTTGCAAAGCCGTGCCCATTTGGCCGAGGACAGTCCCCGTGTTGAACATGCCCTTCTCGAAGCGCAGGTCGGACTCTCCGGTCCCCCATTGCTGAGGGTTGCCATCTCGCGCGGTGGCCATGGCGTGCAGGTGGCTATTCAGCCATGTAAGTACTATGTCGACATCATGTTGTATGTCATAGTACGAAAGGCACTCGTGGTGGCACTCAGTCGCTGCAGGGCTTTGGCATGTATGCGCTGCAGAGCTTGTTGTTTTGCGGTTGTTGTCGTCTTGTCTAGTTTGGCCCGCTTGGAGCCAGGTTCGCCCGCACTGTTCGGATCTGTGGGGAATTCAAGTTCTAGGTGCTGTAAGACTTCAGCTTCAGTCTGGTCGTCCACAAGCAAGTCGGCCAGTGCACATTCGGCCAAGTGGGCTATCATGTTCCCCCCTGGCAGTTGGTGGGAGAGTCGGTAGATACGAGTGAGGTAGTGTTCGATGCGGTCTGTGGCTGTGGGAGGTGTGTTGCGCGTTGGTGGTGGCATGGGTTGGTCTGCCACAGCGTCTTCCGTGGTGCTGTCGGGAATGGTCTGTGGTGGTGGTTGCTCTGCCGGAGCGTCGCTGGCCTGTTGTGGAAGCTGGCTAACTTGGGGCATTGGGGCTGCTCCTCGCTGCAGTGCCTGCTGGATGTGCTGCATGAGGTTTGCTTCGTCGTGGCTTTCAGACGAAGTGCCTGCTGTGGCTGTGGAAGAAGCGGACCATATGCTGGATGTTGTGCTTGTGGTGGATGTGGGAAGAGGCCATATGCCATGTGTGGTCGCCGTGGTTGTTGGCGTGGTTGTGGTGTCAATGGTGGAGGTGCTGGCTGTCGGTTGGCTGTCGTGGTTTGTGGTGGTCGTGGTCGTGGTGGTCTTCTGCTACCCCCCGATGTTGCGGCCGTCACGGACTTGGGCGAAAGGATCTGCCGGAGTGGTTGGCGAGGTGGGATTGGCGGGAGGGGGCTGTGTGTCTGCTTTGTCTTTGCTTTTGCCGCCCCGTAGGTCGCGTTTGTCCACGAAGGCGCTGAAGTTGCGTGGAGGCTGTGGAGGTGGTTGCTTGGGCTTCGTGGTTTGTTGTGCTTTTGCTTCTTTGCTCGTAGCTTTCGAGGGGGGGTCTTTTGTGTCGGCAGCGAAGTGTACGTGCTTGTTGTTTTTTGGAGGGGGTGCTCCCCCGTGAGTGGTGGAGTTGGTCGGCCGCCCGGCGTCTGCGCTGGTAGGTGGTTCATGGCTCCCCCGGGCAGTGCTTTCGGCGGGGTTGGTGGGTGTGGATTGCTGTGGCTGTGGCTGTGGCTTTGGCTGTTTGTGGGAAGTTGCTTTCTCCGCCCGGCGGAATGTCGTCAAGGGGGGGTGTGGATGTCACCATGAATAACCATACGTTAGGTGGGCCCATCGGGGCCAGTCGTCCTGCTAGGCCGACCGTAAAGGGTGGTGCTGTAAGTACTGGCCCGCTCTGGCCAGGGTGGGTAAGGTGGAGTGGCGGCAGGCCTGCCGAGGCCGTCTGTGCTGTCGGTATGTAGTGGGTCGCGGTGATCTCCACCTCAAAGCAGCCATGTGATAGTGGTAAGTATGTTACCGTTGTCCCCTCGGCGTGTGGAATGCTCGGGGGGATTTCAAGCTCATCATGTGGAGGCCCCTGTGGGGCATTGTCGTATTGCCATTGTTCTTCTGCTGTGGGTTTGTATGGTGTGTGAGGCTTGGTGGGGGCTGGTTTGGTTGTGGTTGTTCTGTGGAGGAGTTGATGTGGTGGA